GTAATATATATGCGCTATATATATATATATATATATATATATATATATATATATACACACAAATAATAAATAAATTTGGAATCATGAGATATCAGGGAAAGGCACCCCCCCCACATGTCCTAGTCACATATGCCAGAGTTCCAGGAAGCACAGGTAGATATATTAATCTGCGATTAGCAAAAATGGCCGCCGTGAGAAGATTGGGGAGGAAAAGAAAAACAAGATATGCAAAGAATAAAAAGCCGGTGTTCTATCGAAAGCTCCAACTCATCGAGATCTCCAACTACCTCACTTCCGCTGCTCAGAAAGACTGGAGCTCTGTACAGTTGCGGTGCGCATGCGCGCACAGCGTTTTCAGGATACTGGTCGAGTTTGCCACCTGCTGAATATTGTTAAAATGCAGAATGTACAGAAGCTCCGTCAGTCTTTGTGTTTTGCAGTCCAACGCCGTACTGGTCGGATTCTCCAACTTGCAAGTACTCGGCGGCGAGGCAGTTGGAGATTCCGACGAGTTGGAACTTGCGATAGAACACCGGCAACTATCTAGAAGTATCAGTGCGCAGATTGTCATTAGGGAACATTTCTAAAAGGGTCTTGGTTGTCAATTCAAAGATATGGGTAAAGTTCCTTTTTACCCGACGTGACCCCGTCTTTTATATTGTACCAAAAAATTGGGTAATAATAAATGTTTTATCATTTAATATACGGGGAAACTTGTTTTTTTTTTATTTTATTTTTCGGTAATTTTTCCTTAATATAGTAAAAAATAAAACCCCCAGTGGTGAATAAATACCACCAAAAGAAAGCTCTATCTGTCCCCAAAAAAGGGTATAAAATTCATTTCAGTACAGCGCTGCATGACGGAATAAATGTCAGTCAAAGTACCGCAGCGCTGAATACTGAACAATGGCCTGGATGGGAAGGGGGTTTAACACCGCGCATGTCAACTGGTTAAAACCCAACTGAGGTTACTCTACTCTATCCAAAACCAAAAATAACAACATAAAGGTTTGTGCTGGATCAATTCCTGGGCACAGCACCTGTATTATTCTATACAGATGATAATGATCCTTTCAAAAGCTTGTCATAAAAACAAAAGACATTTTCTATACCTATAGTCACCTATAAATAGACGGTAATTGTACAGGCAGCACAGCGCCCAGCACCCTGACTCAGCCTTCCATCCCTCACACGTAAAGACAATCATCATGGTGACAATGCCTCATTCTTATGTCTCAGGAATGAGGAGTTACAGCTCTAAGGCTGGGTTCACACCTAGGCGTACGGAATATGTGCATTTGTCGCGCATATTCCATACGCCTAGGTGCGTTTCCAAGGGCTACCTGGCTGGAGCCCGATGGATACGCGCGGCAAATACGCCCCAAAGAAGCTCCTGTACTTCTTTGGGCGTAGGGCGCTTTGCAGCGCGTTCCTACGCGCTGTAGGACGCCCAGGTGGGAACCATGCCCACAGGCCCCACTCACACTGAGCGACAAGGGTATTACGCGTTTTCAGCGCAATTTTGTGCTGAACTGCTTTGAGCTACATTGTGCGATATTGAGCGACAGTGCACATTTTAT